TGAGCGTCAGCATCAACAGCATCATCATCATGACCATCATTATCACCATCACCCTTATCACCATTATAATAATCATCATCAGCATCATCATCGCCGTCACAATCGTCATCATCACCATCATCATCACCACCATCATCATCATCATCACCATGATCATCATCACCACCAACACCAGCACCACCATCACCACCACAACCGTCATCATCATCATCATCATCATCATCATCATCATCATCATCACCATCATCACCATCATCATCATCATCATCATCGTCATCATCATCGTCATCATCGGCTAACCCTTCCCTTCTCCTCGAGGGCGCACCGCTGGATGCCCCAGAGGGGGGGGGGGTCCAGAACGCCCCCCCCATCCGCCCCCCCTTTCTCCGGTCCCTTGGCGGCGGACGCAGACCTCCCCCCCCCTTACCTCACCCCTTTCCCGATCCGTGGCCCCGGACCCCCCCCCCCTCCCTCCTTCCAAAACGGGGGGGGGGGGGCGCGGTGTGGACCCCCGCCCCGCTCCCCCCTTTGGACTCGAAAATCCGCCCCCCCCCCCTTTGAGGGAGAGAAGGTGTTACTGTGGCCCGTTCGTTGTTAGTGCGGCCCGGTGGGTGTTAGTATGGCCAGGGTTCCTCCAGAGGGGGTCTCCAAATAACCTCCTCCCACCCCCCCCCTTCACCGAAGAGCCTCTCGGAAGAGCCTCTGGGGCTCTCCGAAGAGCCTCTTGGGCTCTCTGAAGAGCCTCTCGAAACTCCCTCCATGCCGCTTTTCGTTGCAGCCAGGTCTCCGTTTTGAGTCTAGGTGTTGGGCCACGTTCCGTGTGGCGTGTTGCGTATCGGGGCAGCTAAGCCCAGCAGTCCACGAAAGCGTCCCCCTGAGGTCTCCAAGGAGCTCTCCAGAGACCTCCAAGGAGCCCTCCAGAGCCTCCCATTCCTCCGCACTCCATCGCCCTCCTCGGCACTCCTCCGCACTTCACTCCATTCCTCCTCCCCCCTCTCCGCACTCCTCCCACTCCTCTGTACCTTTCCGCACTTCACCATGCTCCTCGGCATCCCTCCCCACGCCTCGAAGCTCCCTCTATCTTGCTTTTCGGCGTTCCTCCCCACTCCTCTGGAGTCCTCCCCACTCCATGCACTACTCCCTCTGCCTCCCCATTCCATGGCACTCCTCCTCCTGCCTCCTCCTCATTCCTCCCTCGACCTCCCTCCACCCTCCTCCCTCCTCTCTCCTCTCTCCGTCCCTCCCAATTCCATTGCACTCCTCAGCACTCCTCCGGAGTCCTCCCCACTCCATCGCCGTCCTCCGTCTCCCCATTCCATGACACTCCTCGTCCTCCCTCTTTCCCTCTTAATTTCCTCCTTCTCACTCCCTCCTTCCCCCTCTTTCCCCCCCTACTAAGACGACGACGATTACTACTAGTACTAGTACTAGTACTAACTACTAGCTACTAGCTACTAGCTGCTACGACTATTACGACTACCACTACCACTACCACTACGACTACTACTACTACTACTACTACTACTACTACTACTACTACTACTACTACTACTACTACTACTACTACTACTACTACTACTACTACTACTTATACTACTACTACTACTACTACTACTACTACTACTACTACTACTACTACTACTACTACTACTTTGCTTTCAGGTGGGAGTTACTGTGGCCATCGTTGCCTGCGCGGAAATGCATTCCCTAAGGGTTGCGAATCTCTCCAGATCTAACATGAGATACCTTTACACATTACTTTTCATTGAACGGCCAGCGCGGGCCACAGTAACTCCCATCCGGCCGCGTGACGGGCCACACTAACACCCAACTGGCCACACTAACACCCAACGGGCCACAGTAACAACCAGTCGCCCCCTTTTGGGCACGCCGCCTCCCAGGCTCCGGAACCCGATCCCTACCACGCTACTACCTCAACCTCAAAACCCTAACCCTGACACGCCAGCCCTGACACCCAAACCCTACCATCTAAACCCTAAACCTGACCCTACTCTAATCCCTAATCCCAGAACCACAACCCCTAACCCTACCTCCTCACCCTAACCCCTAACCGTGACCCTAACCCCTACCCTAATCCTAACCCTACCCCTAACCCCAAGCCCTAACCCCTAACCTGTCCCCTAAACCCTGACACTCCTACTCTAATCCGTATCCCGAACCCCTAACACGAACCCCAACCCGGTTACCTTAACCCTAAAACCTAACCCAAACCTACCGTAACCCTAACTTCTAACCCCAAACCCCGAACCATCAACTTTAACCCTGACCCCTAACCCGAACCCGAACCCCTAACCCTAAACACTAAACGCGAAACTTAACCCCTATCCCTACACCCTATCCCGAACCCCACCCTAGCCCCGACCCTGACCCCCAAACCGAACCCCCTAACCCCTAACCCCTAACCCTACACCCTATCCCGAACCCAAGACCCGAACCCTAACTGTAACCCTACCCTAACCCCTCACCCTAACTCCGAACCCTAACCCTAACCCCTGCCCTGACCCCTAGCCCTAACCCCTACCCTAATCTAAACCTGAAACCCTGACCTTAAGCCTAACCCTAAGCCTAACCCTAACCCCTAACCCTAACCCCTAACCCTCACCCCTGCCCTGACACTAACCCCAAATCCGAACCCCTAACCCGAACCCGAACCCTGACGCCCACCTGACCCTTTTTCCTACCCTAATTCCTAACCCCTAACCCCTTACCCCCAATCCTAAACCTGATTCCTAACCCTTAACCCCTAACCCAAACCCTCAACCTAACCCGAACCTTAAACCCAAACCCAAACCCTAACCCAAAAAGCTAACCCTAACGCTAACCCTGCCAAAACACCTAAGCCTAACCCTATGTCCCTACCCCCCAACACCCTAACCGTAACACCCGAACCCTCACACCCGCACCCTAAGACCTTAATCATAACACCCTAACCCTAATTCCTAACCCCATAACCCCTTAACCCAAACCATAGCCATAATCCTGACTTCTAACCCCTAACCTGCAACCCGAACCCTCAACCCTAATCCTAAACCTAGGCCCAAACCCAAACCCTAACCCTAAATTCTAACCCTAACGCTTACCCTGCCCGAACCCCTCACCCTGACCTGATTCCCCTCCCCCCCCCCGTCCCCCAACACCCTAACCGTAACACCCGGACCCTCACACCCGCACCCTAAGGCCTTAACCATAACACCATAACCCTGGTTCCTAATCCTTAGCCCCTTACCCTAACCATAACCCTAACCCTGTCTTCTGACCCCTAACCCCTAACCCGAACCACCAACCCTAATCCTAACCCTAAGCCCAAACCCAAACCCGAACCCAAAATAATAACCCTGGCGCTAACCCTACCCGAACCCCTAACCCTAACCCTACTTCCCGATCCCCCAACACGCTAGCCGTAACACCCGAACCCTCACACCCGCACCCTAAGACCTTAACCCTAACACCCTGACCCTAAGACTAACCCCCTAACCCTAACCCTACCACCTAAGACTAACCCCCTAAGACTAACCCTAACCCCCTAACCCTAACCCTACCACCTAAGACTAACCCTAACCCCCTAACCCCCTAACCCTAACCCCCTAAGACTAACCCCTAACCCTAGCACCCTAACCCCACCACCCCGTCTCCAGCGCTGCGGCGAGGGAACTGCCTCCCCTCCTGCCCCCCTTTGTCCTGCGCAAGGGGGGGGTCCGAAATCGCCCCCCCCCCCTCTCCAGAGCCAAAGGGGGGAGGGGGGGGTCCGAAACCCTCACCCCCTCTCTGAAAGGGGGGGGGGAGGCGGGTGTTCTGCAAGCACACACGCACACACACACACACACACCCTTTTCAATTACGAGGGCATCCACTGGCGCTCTTTCCTTCTCCTCCTCCGCCGCGTCCTCCTCCTCCTCCTCCTCCTCCTCCTCCTCCTCCTCCTCCTCCTCCTCCTCCTCCTCCTCCTCCCCCTCCTCCCCCTCCCCCCGCCGACGACGACCACGACGAAGAAACCGAAACGGAAGACGAAGACGACGACGGCGGCGGCGGCGGCGACAACGGCGACGGCGACGGCGAAGGCGACGGCGGCGACGGCGGCGGCGACGGCGACGGCGGCGGCGGCGGCGACGGCTGCGAAGCAGCGGCGACGGCGGCGAAGCGGCGGCGGCGGCGGCGGAGCGGCGGCCTGGCGCCCGCGAGAACGAGTGCTGCGGCCCGGCGCCCGGCCGCACGGAGCCCGCGTGGGCGAGCGGCTGGAAGGGGGCCTGCAGAAGCCTGCGGCCGCGGAGCCGCGGCGGCGGCGGCGGCAGCGACGATGACGACGACGACGACGACGACGACGACGACGACGACGACGACGACGACGACGACGACGACGACGACGACGACGATAACGACGACGACGACGACGACGACGACGACGACGACGACGACGACGACGACGACGACGGCAGCGGTGGCGGCGGCGGCGACAACGGCGACGGCGGCGGCGGCGGCTGCGACGAGGCGGTCCGCAAAGGGCCCCGTTCACGAGGACATCGCCTCAAGAGAGCATTGGCTCGCCTAAAGAAGCTGCAGACGCGGGCCGAAGTAACTTTCCCCGCTCCTCGACACCAAAGCACTGCCGCCAAGCGGACGTCACCTGGCCACCTCATTGATCCAGGCTGGACCCCCGGACCACTGACGTCATGAATCTTTCATGACCTTGACCCCCTAGCGGTCTGGACCCACTGCCCGGGGCCGCCTTGGCATTCCGAGTCGTTTTTGGACGGTCCCGAGGCCCAATGAGGGCCCCCGGAGGCCGAAAACAGCGACAACCTCCCCGCCGTGATGTCTCTTCAGGACCCGCGGGGGCCTGGGCCCGTCCTGGGGCGAGCCGCAGCGCGTCCCGCCCCGCTCCACTCGGCGCCTCCCGCCGACCGCGTGCGCCTGCCAGCGGCGTCGCGAGGAGCATCCCACAGCGCGCTGCGGCGGAGGAACGCGCAAAACGGCGTCGAGCAAAACAAAAAAAAAAATACGCAGCCCGGAGCAGGGCAGCATGCCCCGAAGCTTCGCGCAGGCGGCTTGCAGAAGCCCGCGGCCGCGGGGCGACGACGCCGACGAAGACGACGCCGACGACGACGACGACGACGACGACGACGACGACGACGACGACGACGACGAAAATCACCGAAGCTTCGCTTCGGGCCCTGTGGAGCCCGAGACACCACCCCAGGCCTGCGGCGCCCTGGCTCCTCCTTGGGCGGCCCCTCTCAAAGGTGCCCCCGCTTCCCCTCCCCCCCCGGAGGCCCCCCCCTCTAGGAGGCACGGGGACGCCCCAGGAGGCACCCCCTCGCCACGACCCTCGACGCTCGACCCCAGGGAAACGAACAATGACATGAACACGAAAACTCGACGAGCAAAAACAAGCATGGGCGTACAATTTCGGCGGCCCGCGCGGATATCTCGGATCGGCGCTGGAACCCCTCTGCCTGGCGCGCGGAGCGCGCCAGGGGCGGCACTGGAGGCGCCGCCAAGGGGGGTCCAGCTGCGTGTTTGGGGAAGTCGAAGTCGACCTCCACGAAACTGCAAAAAGAGACGGCCTGAGAGAACTGCGTGTTTTTGACGTCAGCTCCCTCCGTTTCTGGGATGTCGAGCTCGACCTCCACAAACACGCGGCTCTCTCAGGCCGATCGGAAGTCCACCCTGGCCTTCCGAGAAGCTTCCCAAGCCCTCCCTGGGGACACAAAGGAGGATGAGGAGGAGGAGGAGGAGGAGGAGGAGGAGGAGGAGAAGGAGGAGGAGAGGAGGAGGAGGAGGAGGAGAGGAGGAAGAGGAGGAGGATAGGGAGGAGGAGAAGGAGGAAGAGGAGAAGGAGGAGGAGGAGGAGGAGGAGGAGGAGGGGGGGGGGGAGGAGAGAGGAGGAGGAAGAGGAGGAGGAGGAAGAGGAGGAGGGAAGGGAGGAGGAGGAGGAGGAGGAGGAAGAGGAGAAGGAGGAGGACGAGGAGGACGAGAGGAGGAGGAGGACGACGAGGAGAAGGAGGAGGAGGAGGAGGAGGAGAACTCTCAGAAGGCCAGAGGCCTTTTGAGAAGCCCCGCCGCCCTTCTGAGAAGGCCTTCCCCTTCTCGCTTCCCCCCCACGCTCGCCGCCGAGGAAGTCTCGTGGACACAGGAAAACTCTCAAAGGCCTGCATGCCTTATGAGAAGCCCCGCCGACTTCTGGGAAGACCTTCTCCTTCTCACTTCCCCCCAGGCGCGCCGCCGAATTTGGTTTTTGGGTCATACTTGGGACTCCGGCGGCCACTCGGGACGATCTGGGCGCCCGCAGAACGCCCCCACGAGGCGCAGCTGCTGGCAAGCATCCCGGCGTTGGCAAACCGCCGAGAACCGACGAAAGCGCCCGAAAACCTCGAACGCCGAGAGCCGACGAAACCTTCCCCCCCTCGCTCGCCGCCGGGACAAGTCCCGAAAACCTTGGCAACCGCGAGAAGCTCGAGAACCTCCGGCGAGAAAAAAAGGCACCGCAAGCAGCCCGCGGCCTCGGGCTCAGCGCCGGGGGGGGCGGCAGCCCCAGCGCCTGGCGCGCGCGGAGCGCCGGCGGCGGGCGCGGGCGCGGCGCCGCCGTCGCCACAGCCATTGCCACCGCCGCCGCCGCCTCGTTCATGCCGTTTGCCATCGTCCGCGGCGCGGTGGTTCCCCGAGCTCTCCGAGCCCTGGCGCGCGTGATGTGCTTTAACAAACAAGACCACCATCACCCAAAAAAAAAACATAAAAAAATCCCCGCGGGGGCTATTCATCAGCCGTGGGGGGCGCGAACATCTGTGAATCACAAGCTGACGCCGCAGCTCACGCGGGCCGCCGGCTCGGCATGCCACATGCGAGACGGGGGCGCTCGCGCGCGCGGCCTTGCGCGGGCAGCTGGCGCGCCAAAGCCAGCACAGACGACCCCGTTTCTTGGCGTCGCTCTATGAGAGGGCCCCTACAAAGTCGTGATAAGAGGGAGCGGGCCACAACCCTCCCAGACGAGCAGCTCTAGACCCACCCCCCCGACGACCATGAAAGCGCGGGCTTTTGCCCAGACCCCGCGGAGCCCTCCAAGACAGCTCAGCTCAGACCCCCAATTTGAGCTGCCGGGACATCGTTGCCACATCTTCGTGTCGTCAAACTTGCGCTTGACTCACCCATGCTGTTCGGCACCACCATTTGAATCAAAAAACCAGTTTCATCTGAGACATCCTCACGATTCGCTCTTAAACTGGCCACGGCGTGCAGGACACCAGCGGTGTGCTGCCCACGCCAAAGCGAGAGCGCCTGCTGGACAGATTTTCGGCCAGTGTCCCGCGTTGCGGCCAGACTCGTATGTTGTTCGGCACGTCGGCAGAAGGCGAGGGAGACCCGAAGCAGCGACCCTGGGCTTCCACTGCTCGATCTTTTTTCGAGCAGCCGGCCCCCAAACGCTTTCGACACTTCCTCAGGAGCTGGACTGTCGTCCTGTCTCACTGCGGGGGCCCAAAAACGGCCCCCGGAGTCCGAAAGCTGCAGCCGGACCAATGACAGAAGCACACCCCTCAACAACCCAAACCATGAGATCACCCAGGGTACTCTTCCCCAGGAGGAGCAAGAGCAGACGACAGGCACGAAGAACACGAGCGCACCCTCCCCGAGCCGACCTCGAGCTCATACCTCGGTTTTCGACCGCACACAAACTGCCGGAGGTCCGCACGGCTTCTGTGGATCGGCGCTGCAGGCCCCCCCCCTCCCCCGGCGGCGCCTCCGGCGCCGCCCCAGGCACGCCCCGTGCGCTGAAGAGGGGGGCCCAGCGCCGAGCCAAGACGTCCGCGCGGACCTCCGGAAGTCTGTGCCCGTGCCATGTGCTGCTCCGCGGTGGAGGGCAGAGGGATCGAGGGATCGAGGGATCGAGCGTCGAGGCATCGAGGGGTCGAACCGCCCCCGATCCTACCCCTTCCCCAAGCCGACCGTGCGAAAGACTCCGGCCCAGATCCTCCGAGTCGCCAGAAGGATGGCTCTCCAGAGGCCCCAGGAGGCCTCCGAGGGCCCAGGCGGGACAAGACTCGTCCAGATGCCTCGATGCTCCGGCGACGACGACGGCGACGGCGACGGCGACGGCGACGGCGACGGCGACGGCGACGACGACGACGACGACGACGACGACGACGAAGACGAGGACGAGGACGACGACGGCGACTGCGACGACGACGACGACAACGACGACGACGACGACGGCGACGACGACGACGACGACGACGACGGAGACGGTGGCGGGCGGCGAGTCTCCCCCCTGGAAAAAGAACTTCCAACCAACTCGGCCCTCGAATCTCATAGCGGCGGCGACAACAGCGTCGACGACGGCGGAGCCGGCGTCGTCGTCGTCGTCATCGACGTCGTCGAGGTTCGAAGCTCGACGATCGAGGTTTTTGGCAGCAGCGACGACGGCGGCGCCGGCGGACCCCTGGGGGCCCAAACAAACAACAAGAAACGCTCAAAACCGACGGCTCGTGCTGAGCGTGTCCTGTCAAGTGTAGGGCCAACCTTGACCACCCGCTCCCTGGTCGAGCTCGTCAGCGCTCGCCCTCGACCCTCGAGGCGCTCGCCGAGGGCCAGCTCTCGGCCCTCGGCCCTCGACCCTTCACTGAAAGCCTCCCAGATGGGGCTGGAGTAGATGGGGTCGGGGATTCGCGCCGCATCGCAGATGCATCTGCGATGCGTCTGCGATGCATGGGCGATGCATCGGCGATGCATCGGCCATGCACTGGCGACGTCGGCGATGCATCGGCGACGTCGACGTGAAGCAGATCGGGCTGCACATCGAGCAGAATCCGCGATGCGTCGGCGATGCGGCGCGATCCTCCGACCCCAGCTGCTCCGACCCCAGCTGGGAGGCCTAGACCATCGCACAAGGCCACCCCAAGGCGCCCACGAGCTGGGACCAGGCGGCTCCTGCGCACACCAGCCCAGAGCACGAGGCCCCCACGCTGCACGGGCACGGGCACGATCCACCCTCGACCAGAAACGCTTGCACCAGACTCGACGCCGCTGGCGGCGGGCGGCGGCGGCGCCTGGCCGGGCGCGCCCTGCGCCGGCAGCGCCGGCCTCGCGAAGGCGCGCGGCGACCCCGCCGGCGGCCCGAAGCTGGGCGCCGGCGGCCCGAAGCCCGGACCAGGCGGCGCGAGGCTCGGCGGCGCCAAGGACCGCGGGCCCGCGGCGAGTCCTCGCACCAAGGCGGGCGGCGGCGGCGGCGGCCGACGGGCGGCGACGACCAACGGCGGCGGCGCCCCGCGGCGGCGGCGAGCGGCGGCGGCCGCGATGGCGGCGCCGCGGCCGCGGCGGCGGCGGCGGGGCCCGCGAGCCAGCGGCGGCTCCCAGCGGCTGGCGGCGGCGGTGACCCCAAATACATGACCAGTAAACAAACGACACCACCAAACCTACGGCACCACAGGGCTCAGCGTATACCAGGAAATCTAGCCTGGGTTTCGCTACGGCCCTCGACAAGCCGTAGCGCACCATGAAGGGCCGTAGGTGGGGTGGTGTCGTTTGTTCTTGGGTCGAATACAGCCAGGACTAGGACAGAAGAGCGCGCGTCAAGAACGTGAGACCCTCCGCCGGCCAAACTGAAGAGCATGCGAAGGTACCCTCCCCCAGGATGTAATTACCAGAGCATCCAACAAGCACGAAGACCATTGGGGCACCCTCCCCGAACTGACCTCGATCTTATACCTCGGTCCGGCCGTACAAGGGCGGTGCCCACGTACAACACCATCTTTGGACTTCCTTTAGGCCCTGGTCCAACGCGGTACGGCGAACAGTTTGTCGGCCCTGAGGAGCCGAAAAGCTGTGCATCGCACCGTGCCTGGGTCGAAGATCGACGACGCCTCGCGAGACGCCAACATGGCGCGGTGCACACGAGCCTTCCGCGGAGCAGACCCCTTCGCGTCATTAGCGAAAGTGCTTTGAATGCGTTCTCGCCGTGGGATGCTTTCCAGCAGCTGCGCCTCGCCGGGAGCGTTCTGGGGCGCCCGGACTGTCCCGAGAGGCCGCTGGAGGCCAGAGACAGGGCCCGATAACCGAACCCTCACGCGCCGTGACATCACATCGGAAAGTGTTGAGCCCTTCTCGGCCCTCCCTGAGGCCCTTGCGGGGCTCTGGAACCTTCACTGTTACTCATCACCACCACCACCACCACCACCATCATCATCATCATCATCATCATCATCATCATCATCAGCATCATCATCATCAGCAGCAGCAACAGCATCATCATCATCATCATCATCATCATCATCATCATCATCATCATCATCATCATCATCATCATCATCGTCATCATCATCATCATCAGCATCATCATCATCATGATCATCATCATCATCATCATCATCATCAAAACCATCATCATCAGCAGCATCATCATCAGCATAATCATTGACAAAACAATCGACAATGACAATATTATCATCATCAGCATCATCATCATCCTCGTCGTTGTCGTCATCATCATCCCCACCATCATCACCATCGTATAGTCATCATCAGCATTACCACCACCATCATCATCCCCGCCATAGTCACGTCACCCTCCTCATCATCGACACCATCATCATCATCATTATCATCATCATCATCATCATCATCATCATCATCATCATCATCATCATCATAATCATCATAATCATCATCAGCAGCATTACCATCAACCGCATCATCTTTATATATATGATACCAGAGAAAAACCCAATCAGGGCTGTAGGGCTAGGGGGCTATAGGACTATAGGGCTGTTGAGCTATAGGGCTATAGAGCTATAGGGCTATAGAGTTGTAGGGCCACAGGGCCATTGGGATATTGGACTCTAGGGCTATAGGGGGCTATAGGGCTTAGTGCTATAGGGCTATAGGGCACCCCCGGGCACCCCCGGGCACGCCCGGGCAACCGGGCACCCGAGCAACCCGGCACCCGGGCACCCCCGGGCACCCCCTGGGCACTCGGGCCCCGGGCACCCCCGGGCACCCGGGCACCCGGGCGTGCAGCGAAAATCGGCGACAAACCTAACCTAACCATATGAATCCGCTAGGACCCCTACAGAGGCAAGCTCTGATTGGGGAATATACATGTATACGTTACCATCAACCGCATCATCTTTATATATATACACACACATATCATGATTGGTTGTCATCGTGTCAGCAGCATCATCGTCATGGGTCACCCGCATTGTCGTAATCACCATTATGGACATCGCAGTCATCCTCCTCCTACTCATTATCGTCGCCATCATTGTTATCATCATCAGCAGCATCATTGTCGTCATAATCATTAACATCATCGTCAACATAATCATCATCAGCAGCATTACCATCACCATTATCATCATCATCATCACTGTCATCACGATCAGCACCGTAATCATCATCATCATCATCATCATCATCATCATCATCATCATCATCATCATCATCATCATCATCATCATCATCATCATCATCCTCAGCATCATCATCATCAGCAGCATCATCAGCATCACCATCATCACCATCATCACCAGCATCATCAGCAGCATCATCACTGTCATCATCGACGTCCTCGTCATCACCCTTACAGTCATCAGAACCGTCATTAACATCAGCATCAGCAGCAGCACCACCCTCAGCAGCAGCATCATCATCATCAGCAGCAGCATCATCATCGTCGTCGTTACCAGTCTCAACATCATCATCCTTGTCGTCACCGTCATCATCGGCATCACCCCCTCTATGCACTCCCTCCCTCCATCCCTCCCTCCCGCCCCCACCTCTGCCTGCCCGACGACGGCGCCTACGGTGCAGAGGAATCAAACATAAGGCACCCGGGGCCCTCCGCGGCGACGACCGCGCCCCCGAGGGTCCCAAGCTTCGCCGCGGCGGCGCCTGGCGCCCCCACGGAGAGCGACGACGACGAGCGGCGACGTCGACGACGATGACAGCCAGAGCGGTCGCGGTCCGGCGCTGTCCGCCAGCGTCGGCGGGTCCGCGGCCGCGTCCGCCGCCGCGGTCTCGAAGCCCGGGCGGTGCGGCGGCCACAGCAGCGGCGCTGGCGGATGCGCGGGCGGTCTCTTTGTGCCCCCCTCGGGGGCTGCTCTCTGGAGTGGCGAACGAGGAGGGGCGAGCGAGGGGGGGGGGAGGGGACAGGAAGAGGACGAGGACGAGGAGAATCAAACGAACGAGGAAGGAGGAAGAGGAGGAGGAGGAGGACAACGGGGAGGAGGAGGAGGGGGGTCGGAGTCGGAGTCAGAAGCCTTGGCAGTTCAGTTACATCTGTCTCATTGCTGATATGAGTCTGCGCGCTGGAACTCGGGCTACTAGGTGTTGGCTAAATGATTCGGCGTGGCAAAGGGAAGCCTGCGGGACCCACGGCCTATTGAGCCTCTCGGGCCCGCTTCGACACTGGACCGAAAATCCCTCTGACGTTTACAGCATAAGGCGGGTGAGGGTTTATCGCACACTGGCGCATCCCCCTCACTCTCGGGCGAGGTCTGTCAGCGTTCTCGCTTGGAACCTCTACGTGCAAATGCTGCTGCAAGAGTAGCTCCCCTCCAGCCTCCCCCGCTCCCGCCCACTAGTAAAGTGGGCGCACCCACTGAGACTTGAAGGGTTATCTACTCGATCAGTCACTCTAAAGGCTCGGAACCTCAGAGGCACCTCCAAAACAAGGCCAGGCCAGGCCCAGAGAAGGAGGGCTGCAACCTGAGCCATTTCCCCTCCCCAGTAACAAGGAGAAAGGCGAGGCTGGACCGACTGTGTCCCTCGGGGCTGGTACCCAGGAGCCTAGGGGGGAAGCCAGGGAGGTCCTCAACCCAAGCGACTCAGGGCCACAAGCAACATGTCCCCTGGACGGGCTGAACTGTTCGAAGCCTTAGTAAGCCTGCAGCAGCCGAACTGGGCGCTTCTGGTCGGGCCTGCGATTACGTTAGTCGAGCCATGGGTCCCCAAACCCACAAATTTACGGACGGAGCTGGTCGAGGAGACGACGACGACGACGACGACGACGACGACGACGACGACGACGACGAAGCTACGCCTTCAGAGTGGTGCCAATGCCTGCTACGAGAGAGTCCCTCGTACCTGGCCCATAACGCCGCCTGTGGCGGGATCCGGAAGCCCTGGATCCAAGAAAATGTCATCTCTTGGGAGAGCAACTTTCACATCCGCCGGCTTACGCGCCGCCTTCCGCCGGCGGAGCCGCCCCGTGTTCCTTCCGCCTGCTTCCGCTGGCCTTCCGCTGCCTTCCGCCGGGGAAGAGATGCCGCCTCCTCCTGGATGACGAGGCCTTTTCTAGAGCGCCGCCTTCAGGAGAGGCTCAAGTCCAGACGGAGCAAGCCCAGACGGAACCGAACACTCCGTGCGGTCTTACTCCGTCTTGCCGTCGCTCGGACGTCCATGCCGTGTGCACTTGTCAATTTCGCGCGTGGTGTTGATTTTGCCCGATGATCAAAGATGCTCCTCGATGGCCCTTGGCGATCAAAGGGAGCAGAAGAAAGAAACAACCAAACAACAACAAAACTATGATCCCGGCAAAGCAACCTAACAGCGATGTGTAGAAGCATATCTGGAAGTATTCCCCTTAAGATTTAGGTGAGAATCCAGTTGTAGAATTCTGCTGTTCTCGCAGTCGCAGCCTCAGCCTGCCTGGGCTTGCCTCGGCCTCAGCCTCAGCCTCAGCCTGCCTCGGCCTCAGCCTCAGCCTCAGCCTGCCTCAGCCTCAGCCTCAGCCTGCCTCAGCCTCAGCCTGCATCAGCCTCAGCCTCAGCCTGCCTCAGCCGCAGCTTGTCTCGGCCTCAGCCTCAGCCTGCCTCGGCCTCAGCCTCAGCCTCAGCCTGCCTCAGCCTCAGCCTCAGCCTGCCTCAGCCTCAGCCTGCATCAGCCTCAGCCTCAGCCTGCCTCGGCCGCAGCTTGCCTCAGCCACAGCCGCAGCCTCAGCCTGCCTCGGCCTCAGCCTCAGCCTCAGCCTGCCTCAGCCTCAGCCTCAGCCTGCCTCAGCCTCAGCCTGCATCAGCCTCAGCCTCAGCCTGCCTCAGCCGCAGCTTGCCTCAGCCTCAGCCACAGCCTCAGCCTCAGCCTCAGCCTGCCTCAGCTTCAGCCTCAGCCTCAGCCTGCCTCGGCTTGCCTCGGCCTCAGCCTCAGCCTGCCTCGGCCTCAGCCTCAGCCTCAGCCTGCCTCAGCCTCAGCTCAGCCTCTCAGCCTCAGCCTGCATCAGCCTCAGCCTGCAGCTCCTCAGCCTTCAGCCTCAGCCTCAGCACCTCAGCCTCAGCCTGCCTCAGCCTCAGCCTGCCTCAGCCTCAGCCTGCATCAGCCTCAGCCTCAGCCTGCCTCAGCCGCAGCTTGCCTCAGCCTCAGCCACAGCCTCAGCCTCAGCCTCAGCCTGCCTCAGCTTCAGCCTCATCCTCAGCCTGCCTCGGCTTGCCTCAGCCTCAGCCTCAGCCTGCCTCGGCCTCAGCCTCAACCTCAGCCTGCCTCAGCCTCAGCGTCAGCCTGTCAGCCTCAGCCTGCATCAGCCTCAGCCTCAGCCTCAGCCTGCCTCAGGCTCAGTCTCAGCCTGCCTCACCCTCAGCCTGCATCAGCCTCAGCCTCACAGTTGGCTCTGGGCAATCAAAATGTAGCCTGGGAGTGGTGTCCTGGGAACACGAAGAACACGAAGTGGCCTACAATTGGCTCCGGGCATTCAAAATGTGGCCCGGGAATGGTGTTCTGGGAACACGAAGAACACGAAGTGGCCTACAATTGGCTCCGGGCATTCAAAATGTGGCCCGGGAATGGTGTTCTGGGAACACGAAGAGCACGAAATGGCCTACAGTTGGCTCCGGGCATTCAAAATGTGGCCAGGGAATTTTGTTCTGGGAACACGAAGTGCCCTACAGTTGGCTCCGGGCATTCAAAATCATGCCCAGGAATGGAGTTCTGGGAACTCGAAGACCACGAAGTGCGTTACTGTTTGCTTAAAACGAGTTCCCCGGCATCCCCCCGGATCGCTATCAGTCTTCGCTGTTAGGCAATAATTGTTGGAAATGCATTGTTCTACATATACTGATTCAACAACATAAACAAAAAATCCGAGCGATGCCAAGATGGACTTGCTACCTTTCCCCGACGACTGCGGCGGGAGCCCTCTGTTGAGCAGGGACCGACCGTCCCGCCATTCCTATAGTCGTACCACGAAGTGTTCTTAGAACCCGAAAATGTTCTAAGAACAAGAACGATGCTCTCAGAACATACACCCGATGTGATAAAACAAGACAGACTCCGCCAGAAATGCTCTGAGAACATCTCGTGGAGACCACAAGAGATTCTTAGAACATTGCTTGGTAGGGCTATAGGCGAGCCCGGACGCTTCCCAGACCCCCGACGTCATGAATTTTTCATGACGTCGATCCCCAGCGGTCTGGACCCATTCCCCAGGACCGGTTTTTCGTCCTGAGTCGTTTCTTGACGGTCCCGAGGGGCGGTAAGGGCCCCCAGAGGCCAAAAATTATGGAAAACCTCCCTTCGTGATTTTTTCGCATCTCGAGGGGGTCTGGGTTCGCCACTGCCTGCCACTGGCGGGCCGCCTCCCGGCCGGCCGCAAAAAAAATTCTCGGGGAGCGCGCCGCCGCCCCGGCGCGCGCGCGCACCTCGGTCGGCGGACGGCGCCGGCGCGCCCTCGCCCCGCGGGCTCCCGCCTCGGCGGCGGGCGCCCGCGCGCACGCCGGGGGAGGGGAGGGGAGGGGCACTGGCAGGCGGCGGTTCAAAGCTCCTCCTCCTCCCTCCTCCCTCCTCCCTCCTCCCCCGCCTCCTCCTCCCCCTCCTCCTCCTCCTCCTCCTCCTCCTCCTCCTCCTCTTCTTCTTCTTCTTCTTCTTCCTCCTCTTCCTCCTTCTCCTCCTCCTCCTCCTCCTCCTCCTCATCATCATCATCATCATCATCATCCATCCAACTCCATATTCCCCCTCCATCTTCCTTCAGTGAACCACCCGTTTTAGTGACGACGGCCCAGGGCCGCCACCGACGGACCTGGGCCCGCAGGAGTGGCGGCCGCGACGCCCCCTCGCGAACCGAGGACGGCCAATTCGCTAATCGACGCGTCAGGGTCGGAGGTCTATCCACCTCCGAAAGGTTGGGGATGGGGGCCAAAGGACGGGAAGGGGTTCAAGGGTGGATCTACGTTGTTTGAGGCATCTCGTCCTTGGGACCCCATCCCTCAGGACCCCATCTTTGAACCACCGAGGGAGGGCGAGGGCGGGACGTTTTGTCCGTCGGCGGCGGGGCAGAGTTGGCTGCACCAGCGGCGAAGAGCTAAACGGGGGCCTCGAGATGGGACGCACTGAGACATGCTAGTTCTAGATGTCCTCCTCGGAGGCGCGCGTCCGACCCGATCATATAGTATAACCATCTTGTAGTGTATCGTTTCCCGAGCGGTACGGCCAGAAAACGCCGCCACGATGCGTATACTATCAGATTTCTCGGTGCACGCGTCGCCCCTGGAGGGGCGACGCAAACATAGCATGAGCAGGTTGGGGTGGGAGCCTTCTGGGGGCATCTTGGCCTTCTTGTGGCCAGTCTCAGGGCTCTCTGGGGCAGTCTTGGGGCCCTCTTGGGCCGTCTTCAAGCCCTCTGGGGGGCTTCTTGGGCCGTGTTGGGCCGATATCGGGGGCCCATCGGGCCGTCTTGGACGCTGCGAAAACTCAAAAAGCGGATATGTTGAAACATACATCTTCCGGTAGGAATGGGACGATGTTTGCTTCTTCGGGGCTCTCTTAACGCCCTCTTGGGGCGTCTTGAGGGCCTCTTGGGCCGTCTTCAGACCATCGCGGTTCCTCTTAGAGTGCTCTTGTGCTGTCTTGGGTCTCTCGTGCGCCTTTCCGATGACTCCTCCCCTGATCGCCTTGAGTCTATTCGCAAGGCCCGGCAAGGCGCCCTGGGAGGCCCGGAAGGGCCAGCGGACCTTTTCCAAAGGCGTCCAGGGGGCCGCCGAGACGTCCGGAAGGGCCTCTGAGGCGTCCATGGGGGGGGGGGTCCGGTTTAGGGGGGGGGTCCGGGTAACAAACAAAATTACGCTACCGAGGAACCCCACATACTTAATTAAACTCTTATGTGTTTGCTCCGCTGAGGGGCCGCGCTGAGAGACCACCCCCTGCGCACTCCCTATGATGTCGAGAATATGTCATGCCTGCTGTGCCCTGGACGACCGTCACGGATAGCGGCCGCGGTGAGAGACCACCCCCTGCGCACCCCCTATGGTGCCGAGAATATGCCATGTCTGCTATGCCCAGGACGACCGTCACGGATAGCGGCCGCAGTGAGAGACCACCCCCTGCGCACCCCCTTTATGGTGTCGAGAATATGCCATGCCTGCTCTGCCCTGGACGACCGTCACGGATAGCGGCCTCAGTGAGAGACCGCCCTCTGCGCACCCCCTCTGGTGTCGAGAATATGCCATGCCTGCTGTGCCCTGGACGACCGTCACGGATAGCGGCCGCGGTGAGAGACCACCCCCTGCGCACCCCCTATGGTGTCGAGACGTGCCATGCCTGCTGTCCCTCTGGTGTCGAGAATATGTCATGCCTGCTGTGCCCTGGACGACCGTCACGGATAGCGGCCGCGGTGAGAGACCACCCCCTGCGCACCCCCTATGGTGTCGAGAATATGCCATGCCTGCTGTGCCCTGGACGACCGTCACGGATAGCGGCCGCGGTGAGAGACCACCCCCTGCGCACCCCCTTATGGTGTCGAGAATATGCCATGCCTGCTGTGCCCTGGACGACCGTCACGGATAGCGGCCGCGGTGAGAGACCACCCCCTGCGCACCCCCTCTGGTGTCGAGAATATGCCATGCCTGCTGTGCCCTGGACGACCGTCACGGATAGCGGCCGCGGTGAGAGACCACCCCCTGCGCACCCCCTCTGGTGTCGATGCCACACCGTCACCGCTGCTGAGAGACCCCCCTCCCTCTGGTGTCGAGAATATGCCATGCCTGCTGTGCCCTGGACGACCGTCACGGATAGCGGCCGCGGTGAGAGACCACCCCCTGCGCACCCCCTATGGTGTCGAGAATATGCCATGCCTGCTGTGCCCTGGACGACCGTCACGGATAGCGGCCGCGGTGAGAGACCACCCCCTGCGCACCCCCTATGGTGTCGAGAATATGCCATGCCTGCTGTGCCCTGGACGACCGTCACGGATAGCGGCCGCGGTGAGAGACCACCCCCTGCGCACCCCCATATGGTGTCGAGAATATGCCATGCCTGCTCTGCCCTGGACGACCGTCACGGATAGCGGCCGCGGTGAGAGACCACCCCCTGCGCACCCCCTCTGGTGTCGAGAATATGCCATGCCTGCTGTGCCCTGGACGACCGTCACGGATAGTGGCCGCGGTGAGAGACCACCCCCTGCGCACCCCCTATGGTGCAGCCGTGGCGCCCTCTGTGGTGTCGAGGATGTGCCACGCCTGCCACGCTCTCCGACCCTGGCGCGCATAGAGACCGCGCTGAGGGACCACCCCCTGCGCACCCTCTCTGGTGTCGAAACATGTGGGGAAAACCAGAACCCCACCAAGCATCTGGGGAAGAAAACCATAGCCCCACTAAGCATGTGGGGAAACGGAGAAGGGGAGGGGGGAGGTGTGAGACGCGGGTGCGGCGCGGCAGGGAAGAAAACCAGAACCCCACGAAACATGTGGGGCAATATAAGAATAGAAAAAATCAACGAATCCAAAAGAACCGTGTCGAATGAGTCATGTGGATTCCTTCGGGCCCCCGCTTTTTGAAGTCACTCAGCAGCCGCTCTACGCGCATATTCAAGAATAGGGCCGGGCGAAAGAGGGGGGGATAACAAAGGGGGGCTTTGAGAATCAGCTCATGCAGCTGATTTTCCAGGCGCATCCCGGCGCCGGGAGGCGGCAATGTATCGAGGAATGAGCCCGGCGGCGGGGCCGAAACCAGCTGCATGCAGCAGCTTTCGAAACCCCCCCTTTCCCTATCCCACCCTTTCGTTCGGCCCGATCCTCCTCCTCCTCCTCCTCCTCCTCCTCCTCCTCCTCCTCCTCCTCCTCCTCCTCCTCCTCCTCCTCCTCCTCCATCCAACTCCATATTCCCCCTCCATCTTCCTTCAGTGAACCACCCGTTTTAGTGACGACGGCCCAGGGCCGCCACCGACGGACCTGGGCCCGCAGGAGTGGCGGCCGCGACGCCCCCTCGCGAACCGAGGACGGCCCATTCGCTAATCGACGCGTCAGGGTCGGAGGTCTATCCACCTCCGACCCTGACGCGTCTCCTGGCGGGGGTGGCCTCCGGGCCTGGCCGGGGGCAGCAGCCACCGAGGCCTGGGCCCAAGGACGCCGACGACGACGACGACGACGACGACGACGACGACGACGACGACGAAACTACGACGACGACAAAACTACGACGACGACAACCACGACCACGACCACGACCACGACCACGACCACGACCACGACCACGACGACCGTGACCACGACCACGACCACGACCACGACGACCACGACGACCACGACGACGAAAACAGCAACGACCACGACCACGACCACGTCAACGGCCACGCCCACGACCACGACAACGACCATGACCACGACAACAACCACGAAGATGACGACGACCACCACCACCACCACCACCACGACCACGACCACCACCACGACCACCATCACGGCGAGGTCGGGGGACGACAGGGCGGCCCTTTTCCAGAGCTGCCCACGCGCGGAGCCGCTTGTTCACCCTGACGGGGCCGCCCGCTCAGCAGGCGATGTCCGAGGGGCTCTTGATGTCTGCCCCGCTGCCCCACACGCAGCCGTACTTGGCGGCCTCCTCGCAAGCGAAAGAGGCCATCCCGCCCGTCATCCAGTACTCCTTCGGGAGGGGCGAGGGGAGGAGGAGGAGGAGGAGGAGGAAGAGGAGGAGGAGGAGGAGGAGGAGCCGGAGGAGGAGGAGGAGGAGGCGGAGGAGGAGGAGGAGGAGGAGGAGAAGGAGGAGAAGGAGGAGGGGGAGAGGGGGAGGGGGAGGAGGAGGAGGGAGTGAGGAGGAGGAGGAGGGAGGAGGAGGAGCAGGAGGAGGGAGGGGAGAGCAGCCCACTGAGAAGGAGCCAGCCGAGCCTCAATCCAATCGATGCATCTGGGGCTCGGGTGCCATCGCGCAGAGCCTCGTGGCCGACGAGAGCACTCTGGCTGCGCCCACGGCCACCAGACACCTTGCCTACCTGCTGGAGTTTGTCCTGCAGGTGCTGCTCGTGTCTGTGCAGGAGAAGGGAGGAGGAAAAGAAGGAGCAGGAGGAGGAGGAGGAAAAGGAGGAAGAACGGATGGGAATGGTGATCACGATGATAATAATAATAATAAGAAGAAGAAGAAGAATACAAATAATGCGGCTGCCGCTGCTGCTGCTGACGCTGCTCTTGCTGCTGCTGTTGTTGAAGATGATGATGATGCTGGTGCTGGTGCTGGGAACGATGATGATGAAGATGACGATGACGATGACAATGACAATGGCGGCGCTGGTGCTTAGGATGTTGATGATGATACGAATGCGATTCATGATGCTGTTGATGACGACGACGACGATGATGGTGATGGTGATGGTGATGGTGATGGTGGTGGTGATGATGGTGATCATGATGGTGATGACGATGATGATGAAGATGATGATATAATGATGATGGCGGTGGGGTGAATG